AATTCTATTGCTATTCAAATGGAAATTTTTATCAGCTACAACTTTGCAGAAAATCGTTTTTCAACAATTTTTCAATAATGTAAATATTTACATCGATTGTATAGAAGAATTTGAGAGATTCACAACTGACAAGAGAGTGAGAGCGAGCTTTTGCGCTCTCTTTCTCCATTACTCTCTTCGTCTGCAATCAGATATCTAAGTGCACAGCGAGAATTGCACGCTTTGAGCACCCATACATCCCAACTTTTCTTCTAATTTAAACTCACACATTCAAACCAGTCTGCAAGTATGATAACGTCCAAAGCGTACCAGACTGCTGTTTCCGTGTTGCTCCCGTTTGACGCGTGACTGCTGAAAGCTTCAATTACAACTAGTGGTGCAAACCGCCATGTATTGTGGAAAATATGTGGTGTGTTTCAAGAGGTGATAGAAGGTCTGCTTGGCTTACATCAGGCATTTGACCCTTCACAAACTTGCCACCCAAAAAATCTCGCTTTTAGGTGCACTATTTAACGAGTTTTGTCATGGTAGTGTTATCGAAATGCTTAGAAATCAATGCATTAGGGATTAGGCAGACCATCCGAACTGAATTTAATCCTTTTTGAAGCAAACCAAAGTCGAAGATTTAATTGAGCCACACTATAAAATAGTGTATTCATGGTCACTTGTGGTCTGGAGTAAAGAAGGGCTTTAAATAGCTATAATGTGACCATAAAATCTATAAAAATCTAAACGCATTTTTTAATACTTACACCTGTGTCGTGCACAGGTCGCACATGTGGACGCGACGCCACTGTAGAAATCAATATTTTGGGATCTGGCGCGTGAAGGAAACATTTTCAAGAGAATTTCCATAAGGATTGGGATAATTCCAAGGGTATTCTGAAGAACTCTGGAACAATTCCAGAGGTTCTGCGAGGAGAACTTCAGGTAAGTTATTAGTAGAATTACATGGCAGTTCTGAGGATAATTTCAAAGGAACTCTAAAAAGAATTCATAGAGCAAAATTCAAAACCAATTTTAAGTACAGTTCCGAGAATGTTCTGACAAGAAGTCCAAGAGGATTATGATGACAATTCTTATGAAATCTGAATCCGACGCAAGGTGCAAAGTAGTTCTAAGGAGAATATCAATTTTGTACACCCGCATAATCAGCGGTGTCGATGGTGTAGTGGTAAGCGTGATTGCCTCTCACCCCAAAAGGACTTGGTCCAACTGGGTTTCCTACTTTGATCAAATTTACCCCGCAATCAATTTTATGGATGTTCCGGATCTTCCGGCGCGCCATCTGATGACCACTTAGATCCAATGACCAGCTAATATATCAAAAACCACATTTTTATAGTGTAGAGAAAAATCAAGGCCTACTTTGAACAAATTTTCGCAGCAATCTTCCAGTGGGTCATCTGATGACCACTTGGAGCCAATGACCAGCTAAAATACCATTTCCCCACATCGCATATAAATGCAGATAAAAATCAAGGCCTATTTTGATCAAATTTACGCAGCAATAAATTTTACGGATGTTCCAGATCTTCCGGCAGGCCATCGGGTGGCCTTTTAGAACCAATGAGTAGCTAATATATCCAAAGGGCTTCCCTTAGCTCAGTCAGTAAAGGCACAGCTACAAAGCAAGACCATGCTGGAGGTGGCTGGGTTCAATTCCCGGTCAGGTCTAGGAATTTTCCGTTTTGGAAAATTTATCGACTTCCCTGGGCTTAGAGTAAGATTGTTCTTGCCACACAATTATACTAATGCAAATATGGTACAGACATTGAAAGCTTTCAATTAATAACTGTTAAAGTGCATCTAGAACACTAAGTTGAGAGCACGCAATATGCTAAAATGGGCCCAACTTAGGGGCATATAGGCCGACATTACATCGATTTCCCCTATTCAGTGGCGTTTCCTTAACCTCAATCTACTTGTGCACCAACTCTCAAAACGCCCAAAACATAAACAATTATCAAAATATTGCTTGCAATGGATAGATATCGAGTAAACTAGAAGATTAAGTGTATTTTTCAACCGATTCGAGTATGAATATGGCATTAAATCTGGTTTTGAAAGTTGGTGCACAGGTAAAAAGTGAGGTTACGGGACGCCACTGCATATAGTATCAGTAACAAATAAAAGCCTACTTTGATCAAATTTACGCAGCAATCAATTTTAAGAATGTACCTAAAGTAAGACAGGTGGTGTTCATTTGAAACCCAAATAACTTTTCGGTGTTAACTCTGATTCACATCCGGCCGTCAGCCATGATGTTACCAATACTCCAAAGGTTCTACATTTTGTACATGAAGAAAATCGACCAGCTACAGCGCCACCTAGAGGCGCGAATGTGAAAGTGGCTCGTTCCCCCATACATTTGACCAATTTTACCAATTTGACCAATTGAACCAAATTACTTCAAATTTTGGTAGGGTGTGTCTGACCCCACAAACTACCATTCCAGGGGGTAGCGTTTGAAATTCCAGGATTGACCTGTTTTGAAATATTATAGTGAAGGTGTGGAACTATTTTAGAAATATTCAAGATTTGAACTAAGATATTTTATCATAGTCACTTTAACACATTTTTGGTCACACGTGACTTATCCGGAGATTGGATTTGAACGCACAACCTTTAAGCGTAAGAGGAATGAATGCTACCCAATATGCCCTGAATTAAGATAAATTTTCAAGATGTTGGACTTTAAAGCGAGAGGAGCGTCATATCTAAATCTCAATTATGGATACTCGAAAAATCTCACACTAGCAAACCAATCTACTAAAAATCTTCTTTCATTTCTCGCATCTACTTGCATCGTGCAGCATCTTTTTGCAGGAAATCTTCAGAATCGTCATAAATCTTCTTTCTATCTACTCAGCGTGCGTATAGATAACCACACTAAAACAAAATCGTTTCCGCATCGTAGATAGAGTCGTCCCCCTCGCTTTAAAGGGAGTTTTAGGGGAAAATCCCAAGGTAGTTATGTTTAGAATTTGAAGGTGATTCTGAGTTCCGTGGAGAGACAATTCCAGTGGCATTGTTAGAAGAAATAAATATGTCTTTTGAAAGATTATTTAAAAGGATTTCTGAAGATAACTTCAATGTAATTCATTCCAACTGAATTTTGAGGAGTGTTCCACGAAGATGTCAATTTCATGAGGATATTTCTAGAGGAATTTTGAAGATAATTCTAATAAAATTCTAAGGTAATGTTCAAAGATTTTTTTATAATATTTCAAGGTAATTCTAAGGAAACTTCTTAGGAGAATACTTAGCGATTACTAATTAGAGCATTTCCAGGCAAAAAAAATCAGATGCAACCTTCTCCGATTTGCATGAAACTTTGTAAAAGCAATCACAAACCGTGTTACATATTTGCAACATTTTCTTTTTGCCCGAACTCGATCCCTAAATTTCTTGCCCAGAAAGACAGATTATTTAGGGAATTTTGCAATGGTCTTTGCAAGATTTCCGCACGTGGATCTCTCAGGGAAACCACGGCATCGTCTGGAAGCTGTCTAAGTGTGCATCGATTATCTAAGCAGTTATCAATATCTTGGACATAGAAATTATAAAGTAAGGGACCATAACATGAACCTTGGGGTAAGCCCAGGTAGCTAATTCTAGAAGTTGTCAGTTGACCTAGATTGAAGGTCATTTGTTTTTCTGACAGCAAATTATACAAGAAATTGTTTAAAATACCGAGTAATCCACTACTGTGCAAATTGTCTGACAGTATGTCTATGGAAACAGAATCAAATGCACCCTTAATATTCAAAAATACTGAAGCTCCTTGTGCGCAAAGGCCACTTGAATATCAGATGAAAGCATCGCTAGACAATCGTTTGTTCCTTTACTCTTTCGGAAACCAAATTGCATATTTGAAAGTAGCTTGTTTGATTGAACCCAATGGTCAAGGATCATTTTTTTCTAATAATTTCCTCAGGCATGATAACATAGAGATCGGACGGTAAGAATTGTGATCAGACACTGGTTTTCCAGGCTTTTGAATAGCTATTACTTTAACCTGTCTCTATGCTGGTGGAACTATATTGAATTCCATAAATGAATTATGTAGGTTAAGTAATCGTCTTTTAGCGATATCGGGGAGGTTTTTTAGAAGGTCGAATTTGATCATATCGCTTCCCGGAGCAGAGTTATTCGATGAAAGAAGTGCCATTGAAAATTCCAGCATTGTGAATGGTTCATCCAGAGAACCGTTAGTTCGGGCTGTATCCCGTAAAGTTGGTTGTGCTGGTACAGAGTCTGGACAAACCTTTTTAGCGAAGTCGAATATCCATTGGGAGGAGTATTCTTCACTCTCATTGGAAGATGAGCGGTTTCGCATATAGTCCGCCTTTTTCCAAAGCGTTGTCATCGAGGTTTCTCTAGCAAGTCCCTCGATAAAAGTGCGCCAGTAATTTCGTTTCTTTGCTTTTAGTAAGTTTTTAAGCATTTTTTTCAAGTTTTAGATACTTTTCAAAAAGCTCAGATCTTTCATGTCTACGATAATCTTTAAAGGCATCGGATTTCTGAAGATAACTTCAATGTAATTCATTCCAATTGAATTTTGAGGAGTGTTCCACGAAGATGCCAATTTCATGAGAATTGAGCTCTCAGGATATTTCTAGAGGAATTTTGTAGATAATCCCAATAAAATCCTAAGGAAAAGTTCAAGGAATTTTTTAGAGCATTTCAAAGGAAACTTCTTTGGAAATACTTAGCGATTACTAATTAGAGCATTGAGTTTCAGATGCGACCTTCTCCGATTTGCATGAAACTTTGAAAAAACAATAACAAACCGTGTTACATATTTGCAAAATTTTCTCTTTGTTCGAATCTCATTAAGAGTCGATCTCTGCTTCAGATACCGTATAGGTATGTATATGTGTCAAAAAAAAAAAAAATAGTGAATGCTTAAGAACTACTCCCTTTAAAATTAATAATCTAACGAACAAGACTGCAAATCTCGTTGGAATTAACTTGCAGTATAACATTTCACTTACCTCCCTGGGAAGTACACTGTACACCTTTAGACAGCTTCGATGGGATGACCTGTTTCTTGCCAGCAGGTCCCGTGTTCTCCGAATCAGGAACACTGGTCACCGAGCACGTTCGCAGATAAACGGTATAGTTTCGGAATGGGACTACCATGGGCCCGGTGATCTTGAGACTATTGTTGGTAAGCAACTGCGTCGGAGGGGAACTGAACCAGCTGTAGGGATTACCCGATGCGAGGTAGTACATGGCATAGTCCGTGTTAACGTGCTGCAATCCACGCTCGAAGCGTACGTACAAACTGGTGGTATCAACTGGAAAACACTGGATGCTTTCGGGTCGCCGCGATAAGCGCCGATACCGGTCTTTGTCTCTTATCGAAAGATACATCGAAACGCTAGCTTCTCCTGCTTCGTTTTTGGCAATACATTGGTAAAGTCCTTCATCTTCCGGATCGATTGTATTGATCCGCAGAATTGGATAGTTGTAATGGACAATATAGCTATTCTTGATTTCGCGGCCATTTTTGAACCACGTAATCTTGGGAGGAGGATTTCCACTAGCGCTACAATTGAATGACATGGAAGCGACAACCGAGGATGTGTATGAGGTCATATTATTAAGGAACATTGGTGGCACCAGAATCGTAACATTGTACAACTGAGAATCAGCACCGAGAGAGCAATTGTAGATTCCTTCGTGCTTGTCGACGGAAACGTTGGTGAAGAGAAGCTGATACGTAAAATTATCCAGATTTATCGGTATTTTACTTTGACGAGGAGTAAACGTCCACCGGGGACGACCGTTTTCTCCAGCACAGTTTAGTTTCAAGGTGGCACCGATACGAACGTTGAGGATTTGTGTTTGCATCCTTGGAAGTAATCGACTTTGAGGTTTTTGGTTGGGTGGTTGAACTGCTACAACATATCCGTAGCTGCGAAGGTTTTTCGCCGCAAAGTTATTTGAAGCATTGCAACGGTAACGTCCAGCGTCCGACGGGCGTATATCCGAGATGAGCAAGCTTCCGTTGTGCAACTGATAAAACCTGTAATGGCATTGAGTTCGATCTTATTAGAAGTAGTTATTGCTAGGCATATAATGATGGTATTTTTTTTAAGCAATGTGTTTTAACATATAAATGAAACCTTTTACTCGCCTGTTCTCATGAGGGCCGTTTGCATAATTATAAATGACTATTTGAGTCTTATTAACTATCCATGTAATGTTCGCCGGTGGATGACTATCGAAGGGACAATGCAGCACTAATGGCCTTTGGGTATTAGCTATTATGGTGTTGTTCTCGGAAATTAGTAAATTGTTTCGTTCCAAATCTAGAATAAATTGGCATGCATTAAATTTCTCAGCTTAGCAATTATCATAACGCAACTTACATGCTATTGTAACAACACTTTCAGTCGACAGTATGGAGCCACTCCCATGGCGAGTCAAATTTGCCTTGCATCGATACACGCCGGCAGAGATGTTACTCATTTGGCGATTGTATGGTATCTTCAGCGTTCCGTTCGGAAACAGACGAAACCCCTTGTGCGTTTGTTTGTGGTTCTGGTTCTGAAATGCCGTACTAAAAAATTCCAATCCATTCCTATACCATACGTATTCGATCAGCTCGTCTCGGCCGTAAGACGAACGTCGATACCGGCTCGACTGTTCGTCCTCGTATTCGTCGTCCTCTTCTTCCAGATCATTGTCATTGCCGTTGGTGTTGATATTGTCATGGGCAAGATGATGGAGCTCAAGCGTGTCCTCGTATAATCCTTGGCGTTCAATGTGAGGTGGATTCAGTATGTCCACCTCTTCGTTGGCGTTGTTTTCGTACTCGGCATCGTCCATATCCAGATCCCCGTCCATGTCCGAATCGGTCCAATCGTTTGAGTCGACATCGGCTTCGGCGTGACATGGTAGGTAGACGGGAGTGTTCTTGGTGGCTGTTATTATCACGTGTGCCGGCGGGGACACCGTGAGCCGTAGCCGGTCGGGCCCAGCCTCGTTAACGAATGCAGACACTGAAAAAAAGGAGAACAAATTGTGTTAGTTTGGCATATGATTTTTAGAGCTAATGAGCATATCGGCAATATTTAGCTATAAATAATTAATTGGCAATGTTTATGGCATTAATTTTCTGAGGATGTATCAAATAGTTTACAGTTAATCTTTAGTCTAAACTCTCTGCAAATTTTTGTAACGGTATTCGCAAAAGTAGCGGACGAAACACATGTCTTTGCTTCGGTATACTTTCCTCCGAACATTGCTCATAAGGACACGTATGATAAGTTTTTTGGAAAAGCGGAAGAAATTTTGTCTAGTTTACCCCCTGAAGTAAAAGTTCATATATATGGGGACTTTAACAAACGCAATGTTGATTTTATTTCTGATATGGACTATGAAAGCATCTTACTTCCAGTCGTTGGGGAAAATGAAACTCTCCATTTCATTTTTGACAAAATTGCAAATTTAGGACTCAATCAAATTAACCATGTGAAAAATCAACAAAATTGTTATTTAGACCTTTTATTAACAAATAATTATGAAGATTTCTGTGTGACTGAATCGTTAAGTCCCATATGGAGAAATGAAATGTTTCACACAGCAATAGAATATTCTCTATTCGTTCACATAAATGACTTTAGCCTACCTGGTGGTGGTGTTTGTTTGCGTGGCCGAGCTAAGAATTTCGACAAATTGACATTTGAATCTTTGTTTACATCAGCTGATGATATAGCTGTTTGAAAATTCACTCTTGATTTACTATTGGACAAGTACTCCACGTATACCAAAGGTTAGTATAAGAAGTCTACGAGCTTGCGCTTTGGTGCACTGTTAAATGTTTAACTCAAAATGGTAAATAACTGTTTGCACATAATTCGAATCGATTTGCGGCCTTGGACACAGTTGTTCTACATAGTATGGTGTGGGTAAAATTGAGCTCTGTGCGTGTTTTTCTTATTTATCATATAGGGTAAATGGCTCTAATGTTGACCTATGAATTTAAGATTGGGCCCACCGCTAAAAATCTGCTATTTATCAATTTTATTTAGATGAACGCATCATTGGATATTTTTGGTCGCTATTGAAAATTTAGTAGATTGCTGAATTTATGTATGGGCCCAAATTAGGGGCATTTAGGACGACATTACATCCATTTCCCCTATTAGATTACTATAGAAACATTAAAATTCTCCCAGAAGTCCAAATAAAAACCAAATTCGTTCAGATTTGGCACAGATGCTACGTATCTCAATACAAATCAAAAGAGCAGTAGAGCAATTTTAGGTGAAACCGGCCACTCTTTGTTTGAGGTTCTTAAATATCACAGTATGATTAATAGATGGAATCCTCAATAACTAGCGGCTCAATCAGTTTTAGGAAAAGATCTTTTTTTTTGCAAATTTTTGGATCATTTAAATAAATATATTTTTAAAAATTCTTCAGAAGAATCTTAATGTTTGTATACCATTCGAAATGGAAACGTCAAGGCTTTCATTTGGCATGTTTAGAATTTTTGGCGGACATATAAAATTTAGCCGCCATATTGGATTTTTTTTTAAATTATTAATTTTGTCATAATTTTACGTATTACTTAGACATTAGTTTAAATCATTCAATAATTTTCGAGCCTGAAAAACTAGTGGGCCGGATTAATTGAGGAACAGGCGGTTGTGGAATTGATCCACCCTATTGAGCATACTAGCTATTGATACCTCTGTTTGGGTCATAATCACTGCGACCAATACATTGATCTTTTGTGATATGTCCGTGACCTTTGTTTAGTCCATGTCGTAGTACCTCATTACTTTGGAAAAGTAATAAAGTATTCGTTTTCGATACTCTTAAATCATACTTGATCTTCTCTCAAGAAGCCTCATTCAATTGTGATGTTCCGAAGCATTCGAAGCGTTCTGAGAACTTTCCAAAGACGCTCTCATCAGTCAAAATAGTTTTCATGAGAATTCTATTTCAATTGAGATGTTCCGTATCATTTGAAGAGTTCTGGGACCTCTCCAAAAGCGCGTCCTCTTATCAATCAAAATAGGTCTCACATGAATCCTCATTCAATTCAATTCTGGGATGCATTCAAATATGCGCCTTCTCCGCAAAATAGGTCTTCTTAGTGGGGAAAACTACTAAGTGTGGATGATACTAAATTTGACCATGTATAGGAGCCCTGGTCCGAACCTTTTCTTGTTTCTAATCTCAAAACCTAAGTTAATAACCGTCAACAAGAAGATCTTAGGGCCAGAGTTCGATGTGGTAGTCTTACATCCCATAACGTACCACCAAAAAGGTGATCTACCCACGTTACGGAGCAATCATTCGATAGCTCTAGCAGTGAACTTTGAAAAGTCGTTCCACGGTATGTTGAATCGATGAAATCCTGATTAACTAAGCTCTCAACCAATTTTTGCACATTTTTTAATGATATATATGAAATCAATATATCTTTAAAAATTCTAATGTTTGCATAACATTCGATAGGAAAACATCACTGTTTTCATTTGGCATGTTTGGAATTGTTGGTGACCATATTAAATTTAGCCACCATATTATTATTTTTTTTTTACGAAATAATGAATGTTGTCGTAAGCTTACTTATGACTTAGACATTGGTTTAAATCCTTCATTAATTTTAGAACTGAATTTATAATTGCTCAGTGAGAAACAGGTGGTTGTGAAATTGATTCACCCTATTGAACTAGCTATTGATACCAGATAAAAAAATAAGAACCCAGACTTGGCATAACTTTGCGGAACCCTTATCGTGGTTAGTTGGTGATAATAATCCTGAGGATTTGGACGCAGATTTTGACCAAATACCCGCAACTCGGTCGTGTGTGGTTACTGTTGTTACAAAAATGGAAGATGAGTGGTGGTGTTGATGAGAAATATACCATCAAAGCAGACTTTGGAAATGGTGCTGGAAGACCGTCGTGAGGCGAAATTATTACTTTCGCTAAGTTGCTGGACGTGGATCCTGTCCAGATAGAAGATATATACAGAATAGGTGAGGAGAAATCCCTGTTTGTCAAATTCATGTCCGTAGATTCGATGATCCATACATTTAAACATAGTCCTGAGCAATTAATTTTCCATTATGCAGTCGAGGTACGCATGTCGAATGCGGGGGAATTTACTCGCACATATTGAGTATATGATCTGCCACCTGAAGATCCTGGCAAAGACCTAGCGTTGGTGCTGGGGAAATACGGTTAAGTTAAACGTGTCATCTGTGAAAAATTCCCACCATAGCTGGGTTTCGATGCTTACACTGGAGTACGTGGAGCATATATGGATGTGAAAAAGGAAATTCTACATTGCTATGAAAAGAACAAGAACGTTTGTTTTGTTTGCAAGATGGAAGGGTACGGGATGGATTTATGCCCCAAGCGGAAGGCTCGTAAGCAGCCAGTGAAACAACAAGTGAACGAAGAACGGAAGCAGGTTGAAGAAAAGTGCGACCAGGACGAAGATCAAAGCGACAGCAGTTTGGAAGCAAGTTCGTTCGCAGAAGTGGTAGTCGGAGGTGCCACAGCGGACGTGATTGAGGTGCTCCACGCGACGACCCCGGATAAAGACAACATTGAAAAACTACAAGCCTTATGGGGTTGTACGCAATGGTGACGTAGGACTACGTGGTCTTATATAATAAATGTTATTTATGAACTACAGCAGGAGCTTGTGTTTTGTTTAGGAATAGGAATTTGAGTGGGGTTCTCTCTGTTTATACTCTTTAGTATGACTATGATTGGCCTGAAAAAAACCGTTTAATATAAATTTTAGTTGGTACATTGGCTAGAAATTTAACTCTTTTGGAAAATCTTGGTGGCCCTGGCAACATATAAAGGTCGATGGTAGTACAGGCTTAAAGCCTTTGGAAGATGATGATGACGTGTAGGCAGCTGGATCAGCAAATCGGTTCGGACAATCCCATATTCTTCGGTTCAATGATTGGGCCCACCATCAGTGTCCACCCAGCTAAAGCTCTTCCCCTTTTTAGTTTTTCTCGTTAAACTCCTTCTCTCAAAAAGTTGGTAAATATTAGCCTTTAGCAGAAAGACGCCTAACACTTTTTTGGAAAATTTATGATCCTGATTCACTTCATGGTTCTTCTCTATGCCTGTTCAGATAAATCAGTACTTAATTTATTTTCTCTACTGCGCTCAATCAAACGAGTAGAATTAAGAAGGGATGTCGGTTACGCGCTCGAATAATTGAAAATTCAATAAATATTTAATCGAATAGCTGGGAAAATCTTTACGATTAATCGTTAATCGAATAATTGGACTTTTAGGCATCCCTAGAAAATAGTGTAATTTCAAGTTTTTAGGTGGTCCTTCGAAAATGTCGAACAGCAGAATTGCAACCCAAGAACCAAAAGCGGTGTGATGCTAGTTTCCATTGCTATGACGACGACTGAATTAAGGGGCTTAGAAGCAGAGGAGTGAAAGTCAATTCTCTTCATCGATTTTTCTTTTTTTTTGATGACCATGGCTTAACTAACCCATTTCGCACTATTTCTGCTATGCTCTTCTATCATCCAGAACAACAAATGTATCAATGAATGTGTTTCCCGTCGAGTTATTAACGAAACAGAAAATCGATGAAGAGAATCGATCAAAATCACTTGCAACCCTGCATCCAAGTTTGGTTACACGATTACAACTCTGGAGAGCATTTTGTGTGGTCGTTGGGGGCGTGTCGTTCTGAATATGGCGATGAGTGTGCAAAATGTTACGCAATTTCATCCTCCCTATTCGCACACGCCCGAAGATCGGAGGCGAATGCCACTTCGACTTGTTTCGTCTACTAACAAGTCTCTGATGACAGTGTTGGGGAAAGCAGCAATGCTACATCGACATGTTTCATCTAGAAACGACTCTCTGCTCACTGTGTTGGGGAAGCAGCATATCCATGTACCTAATTGGTGGATTTGTTAGTTATTTCGACGCTTTTGGACAATGCTTGACATTTACCACTTTTTCAATAGTTTCTTGTTAAAAATCAACAG